ACCCATCTTCTCCTGTGTTTCCACTTGGAGAAGAGAGTCATTTTCCACTGAACTTTGGAATAATTTAATTCTAGAATTTACTTATAAACTCGCACATCCGTCTTCCACCATGACCACAAAACATTAAATGAAATAACATATAAAACTACTTGCACTAATAATGGCAGAGAGGAGTAATAGGAGTGTTGATTTCATATTACATCCTTCAAACCTGCAATTAATCATGATACAAGTGGTTAACTGATCAAACAACAATATAAACATTTCCCAAAGCTAATAGTCTATAAATGTGGATTATACAGCAGTTCTTTGACTGTAATAATAATAATATGGACATGCTGGATGTCATGTAGTGTGTGTTACCTCGTGTGAAGGCTGCTGACAGTATGGTCACATGAAGGACATTGTCTTAAAATCTACATGTTACCTTTCAAACATTCTATGGGATAGAAGTTTGGGATTGAACTATTGCATAGGAACATCTCATGAGTTACAGAACAGTTAGATATTTAATTTACATTCTTCCTCAGATCTGTGTCTGTGAAGAGAGTTCTGCTGGTCACTACCCAGGATTAGAATGTGGGTCGTAGTTTGTAGTATGACTCTTATCTAGAGAGGGACAGAGGAAGGGAGGTTGGTGTGTGTGTTTGTATGTGTGTGTGTGTTCATGCATGGCACAAAGAGGCCAGGATTCACACCTTAGTGTTAATCAGTCCTTTTGTTGTTACTTGTCCTATATAAGAAACAATCAAATATCATTAGACAGAGTCTTATTGTAGTCTTACAAACTGGAGATTTTGCCTATGTTCTCCAGTTGCCTGGTGTCCATTGGTTGATCCTCTGGAGCTGACCCTTTGATCTTTGGTCTGGTTCTGTGTCGTTCGGACATGCTAAAAGCATGGACTGTTTGTGATAAGGGTCCTTTGTCTCTTTTTCCTATCAATTTGATAGTTTGATGGTGGGAAGAGTCACAAAGTGTCAATTGTGGGTCCGTTACGCTGCATGTCCTTACAAGGAACTTCCTTAATGGCTTGTGACTGATGCCAGGCCAGGTACTGTATGTACACTACAATAGATAGATAGATACTTAATTTATCCCCTAGGGGAAATTCATGTGTCCATTAGCTCATTGTTGAGAATGATAATAATAATAATGATAACAGTTAATAATAAGTAAATGATAATAATTAGATTAGTCCACTTCCTTTGGCTGAGGTGTTGTATAGCCTGATGGCAGTGGGAACAAAGGATCTCCTGAACCTCTCTGTTCTGCAGCGCAGTGAGATGAGACGTTTGCTGCAGCTGTAGCTGCTTCTCTGTCCTGCCAGAATATTGTGGAGAGGATGGTTGGTATTGTCCAAGATGGCCTCCATCTTACATTGCAGATATTAAAGAGTTTGTGTATATATATATATATATATACACAAACTCTTTTCATATGTATAATATACACAAATATATATGTATATATATATATATATATATATATATATATACTGAAAAGAGTTTGTTTAAGTTTGCATTATAGCAGCTTTTATAATGTGATCACGTTCTGGATTTAGTATCACCTCCTTTGCAGTGCTGAAATTTAGTTACAGGACCTCCATAACAAAGTGGAAACAAAGGCACAACCTGTACATGGCAAGTTACAGGTCGTTAAGACAGAGTAATGTCGATGTCATCTCGAAACGAAACGCCAAATAATAAAGTAGGAAGTGTTTATTTCAGAAGTGTTTTAAAACATAGGTGATGATCTGATTCAGAATATTCAGTGTGTTTGTCAGTGTCTATACAGACATTTTGCACTCTACTATACAACAGGCGACCAAATGACACATACCGTTACTATAATTAAAATCACATACTGTATTTGTCTGGTTTGAGAATTGATGGAAACATTAGGGACAATGTAAGAACACAACTGAACAACATGTAGAACATAAGTCTAGTTGTTTTTAGAGATTTTAATGAGGAAAAGTTGCAGATTATAATTTATGACAGAGTCAGTCATACAATTTGATGGCACCTCTAACAATATAAAAATATACAAAAACAGCCATTGCAGTACATTTTCAGAACATGCCTCTGTCCCCTTCTGGGGTTTACGGCTCATTTGATCCTGTAAGTACTAATACTGTCATACTGTGAAATATGTGCGCATGTGAGCAGTGTGTGTGTGCATCCTGTGAGCCTGTTTGTGTGTGTTCAGTGTGTATGTAGCATGGCTAGTCATCTGCGGTGCTGGTAGCTCCCTGTGGACCAGAGGGCAGCAGCTTGAGGAAGCGCAGAGGAGTCTGATTGGACAGATTCAAGCTCAGGAGCTAAGTGTATTAATGCGTATCCACCCCTTCTCACTTTCTTCATTCAGTTCCTCTCCCCCACCCCCTCCATCTTCTGTTGCCTCCACTCCTCACTAATTCCTTCCTCCTTCTCTTTTCTCCTGTCATTTCTTCCTATTTGGACCCTCTGAGCTCTTTTCTCCTCACCCACCTTCCTCTTTCTTTTTCCATCATCTTCGTCCTCATCTTCTTTTATGCCTCCTCTTTCTCCATCCCTGCTTCCTCTCTTGCCTCATTTTCATTTCTTTCACCTCTTCCTTGTGTTCCTTTTCTCTTTCATCATTCATACTGCATCTTATCGTTTCCTTTTCTTCATCATTTCCTGGTTTACTTTCCATTATGTACATCTTTTCAAGTCCCTCATTCCCTCTTTCATCATTCATCTTCTCCTTTTTATTCCTCTCCATCCTCTCATGCCCCTCCTTCCTCCCTACAATCTGCTTTTTTTCACCTCCTCCTGCTTCATCATGTTTTCCTTCCATTACCACCTTTTCTTCTATTCCCCTCATCTCTCCTGTTCAGCCTCATCTTTATTTTTTAATCTGCCTGAACCCTCATTTTTAATGGTTCATCTTCTTTCTCTCTACCACTCTATCCTCCTCATCTTGCTCATTCTTTATCTTTCATTTTACATGTTCTGCATTTTGCATCTACTCATCCAAAGAAACTTGTGCATTAGTAGAAAAAGGCTTCTAAGTAAACATCTGCTAGAAGTAGTGTCATATTTTCCTCTTCAAGAAATACCCTGTTCACAACTATCATCTCTGTGATATTCAGCATGGTGACAGATGAAATTTTATCTTCATATAAACAGTTCATATAAACTGAAAACAGTGGATATGATCATTTCCACAATTAACACTTTCTAACTGTATTTTTGTATCTGTAATTGAAATGGCCTGATAAGGGAGGGGTTCGAACACATCTAGTTCACCAAGGCAACACAGCTTAGTTAAAACCATTGACAAATGGCAGAGGCTACGATGGACGTACCCTCTGCCATTTGGTTTCTGAAGCTCAGGCTGTGTCTGATACCGCCCCTAACTCCCAGCTAATCCAAAAATGGGCAAAGAGGAGGGGCATATGTGGAGCTGAGATTTCAGTGCATTCAGGTTTGTGGGGAGCATACGCTCACCCACCTGACACTTAAGGAGGCCACGCCAACAATTATTCATAACTTTACATTAACATTTTAACTTTAATAAAATGTAAACAGGTGAGTTATATAAACAGGTGTCATGAAGGAGGAAATTAGCTCCAGAGACCAAAATTGTTTTTGTACCAGGCTGTAAATGTTTATTTCTGCTGTAAAGTTGGACATTTTAACATGGGAGTCTATGGGGATTGACTCACTGTTGGAGCCAGACTCTAGTGGTCATTAGAGGAACTGCAGTTTTTGGTACTTCAGTTTTGAATGAGTGTTGGCAATGTTGGTAAATACACATAAAATGTTAGCTAACTTTTTTGAAAACCTATAATGGAGCAAAAATGTTGAATGTCAAATGGTGCTATTAGCGCCTCAGAGACTGAAAGCGCCTGGTGCATTTGATGAAGTCTGATAATTGATAACAGGAACCTATGATGCTCGTTTTGTTAACGTTTGTTTGGGTGTAGAAATTGCCTCAAATATTTCTCAAATATTTATATTATATTACTTTGTAGAGAGGAGCCAGAGCTCCTGCACGTCTCTGCTACCGCCAACACCCTGTTAGCTTAGCTTGCTGAAATGTGTTTTTACATTTGGGTTATGTGCAAGACTGTCTGAAATCACTCCCTTGTTCACTCACTCACTGCTCCCCATAATAATAGACACTCAATTGTGAAGTGCATTGCATTGGGGGATTGTTAGCAGATAGTAGTGTACATGCCATGGGCACCACTTCTTTTGTTCCAGTGTTAAGGATATTGGATGGTGGATAAATTTAAACACTGACACTGAATATAGTTCACTCTGTAGTAAACGGACAGTGATTTCAGACACAGCCTATTTCTAGTGACTTTCTGGTGTCCTGCACACACCATGAGGTCATCAGGCAACCAAATAGGAAATAGTCCAGCACATAACCCTCCTGGAAAACCACAATATGTCATTTTCACATTTTTTTTGAACAGACTAAATAAATATAATCAAATGTCAATAATAGTAATCTTTAAAGGTGCTGGGAGGTGGATTTTTGTTAGCTTCTTCTAAACTAAGCTAATTCGCCGCTGTTGGTATCTTATTATTTACAGACATGAGAATGGTATGGGTCTTTTCATCTAACTATCAGCAAGAAAGCACTGAAGCATATGTCCCTAAAAGTTGAGCCGTTCCTTTAAGATGGTGGATGGATTACTGAACCTGAACTTATTCAGTTCAGTAAAATCCCTCTCTGTCCTCAGGAGTCGCTCAAAGACCAATTTCTCTCTCCTGTGAATCTATTTATTCTCTCTCTCTAAGACATTAAACAAGCAATTAAACATAAAAAACACCTTTTTCTCATTTCATTTCCTGTGCACTTCTGCCTTGTTGCACCTGCAGCCTCGTGCTTCGTGCAATGCAAATGTACAGGCAGGATTTACCCGACACAGCACTGCTGCTATAGAAAACACGGCAGTAACAGAAAGCAGACTGCTGCTGTAGGTGTGTGTAATGTTGACTCCATGTTGTTGTGTGTGCAGGATCCTGGCCACAGTGGGGGCTGATTTCGACCTGAGAACACTGAGGGCAGTGAGAGTCCTGCGGCCGCTCAAACTGGTCTCTGGCATTCCAAGTAAGTTACCTTCACATGTCACAACTAGAGTAACTGCTAACACTGATAGTGATCCAGCTCTGACTCCAGAAACACAGCTGGAGTCAGGATGTGGTTAGCATGTGGTTAGCATAAACACTGGATAATCAACACACTGGATCTCTTTTGTTCAATCCCAACATAACCAGAAAATGTAAAAATAACAATGTTTAGTTTAGGGCTGCCGCAATTAGTCCACTTTGAACTATTTTAAGTCCACAAATTGTTTCCCATACATTGATTTATTTGTGGCGGCCTGTCACTATAAACCACCATATATTTATTTTCTATTTATCATTTATGGTGGCACTGAGATCAGCCACAGACATGAAGGAGTACTTCATTTGTAAGTGTTGTATATTCATTAGTAGTTGGAGCTTTTTAATATCTTTTGTCCTTGTAGCTGATAAATACTCTCATAAAGTTGCAAAGTGACCAGCAGTCATCACGGAGGTTTCCAAATACAATAACATCATGTCTGTTCAGAGACCAAAACCAAAACTTGTACAGGTATACTGTATGTATCTAGCAACTATCATCATCTTCAGGGATAGAACCCTAATAATAATAAAGTGGCACAAGCACAGGAGGGTTTTACCCCTTCAGGGTCAGAGCTTCTTTAGATTTTCCCATGAACAAGTTGGTAAAGTTAATTTAAACTGTTTCAGACAGTTGACGAGAAGTTAACCAATGACTTCATGTGAAAATCAATAAATTGGGAAATGTTCTATTCCAGACACTGTAGGATGCCCAGGGACAGGTCCGTAACAACTTTTAATTGTTTTAATTTTAATTGATTACTCCTCGCCAAATCAGGAAAATCTTTTTATCTTGCAATCCTACAGCGCCCTGTCCTGTCAGCATCCTGTCTCGCTTGTGGAGATAACTTAGAAAAGCATTTGTTAACATCCAAGGAAGAAAACAAAGAATGAATGGGGGGCACACCAGTATGCATACTGCATACTTTGAAANATTCCAGACACTGTAGGATGCCCAGGGACAGGTCCGTAACAACTTTTAATTGTTTTAATTTTAATTGATTACTCCTCGCCAAATCAGGAAAATAAAAGTAAAAATCTGTTGCAAAATCTGCAGTATGTCTTTTTATCTTGCAATCCTACAGCGCCCCCTTTGTCAGCATCCTGTCTCGCTTCCNTTTTTTTTTTAAAAGTTCAACTCCTCCTCAGAGGGCCTCTACACACCTATGTACTTTCTTGATCACATGAGTCAGTAATCAGAGGTCTCAGAGTCCCCGTTTGTGAACTCGTCATGTTGGTTTCCTCTTGTTGCTCCTCCGGTAAGATTCATCTGTCTGTCCTCAAATCAAATCTTGTCTTCCTCAGGTCTTCAGGTGGTTTTAAAGTCCATTATGAAAGCCATGGTACCTCTGCTGCAGATTGGCCTCCTGCTCTTCTTTGCCATCCTCATGTTTGCCATCATTGGCCTTGACTTCTACATGGGCAAGTTCCATCGTACCTGCTTCAGGACTGACACAGGTGAGCAACAGGAGCAGTGGGGCTGAAGCAAGCTCTTGGTTTTAATCAAGAGGCTGCCCCACTTGTAGGTGTCGTTCTATGTTGCCTCATGTTTCTTCAATATATGATCAGAAAATCAGAAAATGGCTGACATTTCTCTGTAGAGTTTGCATGTTCTCCACGTGCCTGCGTGGGTTTCCTCCCACAGTCCAGAGACAAACAGGTTAGGTTCAATAAATTACTCAATTCATCAGATTAGATTATTTAGAACTATTGTTAAGTCTGTTAATAAAAAGAGTTACATGATGGAGGCAGTTATGTTTTTATTCCTTCACACCGGTGACAGTCAGAGCCAGAGGCTTATGTTTTTTGGGTTGTCCGTCCTTCTCATTCTCATGGACATAATATCTCAATATCCTTGACAGAACTTCTTCAAATTTGGCACAAGCATTCACTAGGACTCAAGGATGAACTGATTAGATTTTGTTGGTCAAAGGTCATTATTTCTAATGGCTTGCGCCACAACCGTTTGTCACTGTGGTGGGCAAAGCGTAGTCAAAGTTTAATCTAGTGTAACTTTGACCGCTGCATGCTGTGACAAACACCCATCACCCTACTGGTAGAAATGAGGCATCCAGCCAGGCCTGGAAAGTAAACAGAAATTAGACCTGAAACCAGTCGCTGTGGAAACAGAGCTCCTTCCCCAGGCTGCTCTCTGTACCTGAGGACACCCACGGCCTCTTCTTTGCTGCTCCCTTTCTTCTTCTTATTAGGAAGGCTAGTGCTAACACTTGTTTCTTAGCGCTGGAAAGATACATCTTTGTTGCTGGCAACGATAGACTGTAAACGCTGCGGGAGCTTCCTGCTTCATGGTGACGTGTCCTGCTAAGTTTGCTCTGTCATCCGCGACTCCCCTGAACAGTGTGCTGACCCGAGCAGCAAGCACAGCGCATATTGCATCCTGTCTGAAATCCCCAGTAGATCAGTTAATTGTTTAAGAAAAAACACACAAGAATACATTTAACATGAAAAATTAAGCAAATATTAGGAAGAGCAACAGAGCAACCGAGATTCCCTCTCCTGACAGACAGGCAGCACATGTTGTATGTAGACAGAGATAACTGTCATAAAAAGACACCATGGAGAAATAGAGTGACAACATTAGGTAAATAAAGTGCTAGTATGTGTGACATTAGCAGCTGTGACAGACTACACAGTCCTACCAGCTCTGAATGCTTTATCCTTACATAATAATCCAGTATCAGGGAAAACAAGCAGCATAAGTTGAACTGTAATTGTAATTCACTCTGGATAACAACAGGAAGTGATGTCAACTGTACTTTGTACTGTGTATCATTGTAGCTGAACCAATATATTATGCATTGAATGGCATGTATCTCAATATCAGAGGTTCTTTTATATAACACTAGAGCCTTCTCTAAAAATACCAGCATGTTTGCCTATTTCTGTGACTCTGAACAAATGTGTGTGTGTGTTTGTGTGTTTGTGGCTGTAGGTGAGCAGGCAACCGAGTTCCCCTGTGGCCTGGAGGCTCCGGCAAGGACCTGTTCAAATGGCACTGCCTGTAGGGAGTACTGGATTGGACCCAACTTTGGCATTACCAACTTTGACAACATCCTCTTTGCTGTCCTCACTGTTTTCCAGTGCATCACCATGGAGGGATGGGTGGACATCCTCTACAACGTGAGTCCACTCACTGGAAACATACCTGTTCTTTCTAAAGCACCATGTCTATTGGCAGCTGGGGTCACCAGATGGGGGATGTTATGCTTAGCTTGGTTTCACCATCTGAATCACTGCATATTTCTCATTAGCTCAGTGTTTCAAACAGGTAGGATTTGTGTTCACTGGTTTCAGAAACGGGTGGCAATTTTGAGCTTTGTTGGTAGAATTCAGAATGGGCAAACCATCTTCATACTTAGCTAGCTGGCTACATCTATTATAAATAACAATAGGAAAATTTCCAGTTTTGCTGTAATACAGTATACAGTAAGGCTGCGCGATCTGCAAAAAAAAAAATCATATTGCGATTATTTAACAGGTATTGCAATATGTGACTTGAGTTGGAATGGTCATTTTTTTAATTTAATTTTCACTGAAAAAAATATAAAATGATGATGATGTGATTTTCTTGTACCAAGCAATCATGTTCCTTTACATCTGAGAATATGATTTGTAGGCCAGGACGTCTCTGTAGCACCACAACACTTTTTTCGATTTCGATTATATTTCAATTAATTGTGAAGCCCTAGTGTACAGTACAGTTATAAAGTAAGTGGTTGCCTGGTAACATCAGTGTTCTCTGTGTTTCTAATCAGTGGCAGCAGGCTGCTGCTATCCACTACACACCCTCTATAGTCTCATCACACAGCTTGACGAAGCAGATTGTAGCTTAAAACAGAGGTTAGCAGTTAGCAATATGATACAACTAACTAGCTAATATCATAAACTGATGGCTCCACTGTTACTGTTTCTCTTAATTGATCTGTCAGGTCTCAGCCGGTGAAGACGTGTGTCACTCAGATAACTCCTAGCTCCTCTATTGTTTCCATTGTTGTGGTTTCTGTGGTTGTCATGGTGACACGATGAGCTGCGGCAGCAGGTTGAAGAAGTTGAACCATCATGAACTCTGATGGCAGCAGCACAGAGTCGTACACAGTCACAGTGAAGCCTTCCTGTTGGGGAAATGGGTTTTCACATATCTGTAATGAGATATTCACAAATCTTCAAATAATTTACATTGTCAAGCATCATCTAGTTTCAGAAACCTTTCATGTTTTGTGGATGCTGTCGTAGTTTTTGTGGTTCAGTAACTGTGGCTCAGCCAGTGGAGCTCCTCCTGTCCACATGTCCAAGTGTTGAAGACAGATTGATTATGATCTTAGGGTCAGTATCTTGTACATCATCTTGCTGTTATTGGTGAGAGAGGATGTGTGAATCGACGAGTGAGTGCTGTATAAATGAAAATCCTTTTAAAGCTCCATATTTTCCTTTTCTCCTGTGTTTTATTTGAAGTGTTGATCCATAAGAAGATATATTTGTGGTTTCTGGAGCTCTAGTAACAACAGGTCAGTGAGCCAGTCAGAAGAGAGGAGACTCTGAGCCTGACTGTTTTCAGAGTGATTCAATAAAAACACAACAAAAGCAGATTTCAGGTAAAATACTCAGAGAAACCAAATCCTTAAGGCTGGATGGTGGGTCCAGGTGGGCAGGGCTTGGGGCGTGGCTGAGGCGAGACTGTCTCGCCCAGAAGTCCTGACGGCTGGTTTTAAGGCTCAGTTTCTGAATACAGGCTGTGTGCATTTCTCTGTGGACTGAGGCTTTGATACTTTCACAGTATTAATATAGAAGCTAGACCTGATCTATAATCAAACAACACATGGACAGAGACCTTTACACTGTATGGAGCTTTAACTATTTGAATGCAGTTTGGTTGATGACCACCTGAAATCTTTACTGTTATATTTTTTAACTGAATGAAATAACTTTTTTTGTTTCACTTTTAGAACAAATATTTCAGTCTCCAGCTTGGCCATTAGTGTCATTAGCATTGCCCATATTCAACAAATTACATAATTGTTAGGCTTTCTCAGTCTAGTGGCTTTATGTATTTATTAATGTTTTAATTAACCTTTATTTATTCATGTGAATCCCATAGAAATCTCAATTTCAAGAGAGACCTGAATCTACACAAAAAAAACTTAATAAAAACAAATCATGAACAAATAGTTCAAAAAGAAATTACAAAACAATTTACATAGCAAACAATAAAATTACGAAATTGTAGTAAAAATGACACACAAGGAAAATTTACACAATAACATAAAAGATGCAAAGATTATGAAGACAGCCAACAGTCTCATCAGTTAAAACAACTGCATTCTGTTTTGGGCAAGTTTAAAATCTGATTTCTAAAATGTGTATAACTTATTAAACTCTCCATTTTTAAAGTGCTTCTCAGTCTTCCCAAATTCAGAGTTTACCCAGGGTACATGGAGTTTCAGCTGATCTGACCAAGAGACATGTAACATCATGGTAATTTTCCAATGAGGGCTTTGTAAATAAATAGGTACCAATGTATGTCACATCTTTCTGATAGAGAGGACCAACCGAATTTTCTTATAAGGGGTGCAATGATGGAAACTATAACATCTTCCAAACTTTGAGATTGCAGATGCAGATTTATCATTTTGTTAGATACCAAGAATTGATAATGGAGCATCATTCAGGTAGTGTTCTGTTAAATTGCTCATTTTACAGTGACTGTAATTTTATTTCTTTAAACTCTCTTCATATTTATTTATATCATAAAATTAGTTCCCAGTCTGTGGACAGTCCGTCACTGTGACTGTACAGACTGGTCTGTCCTGTGCATCAGCACTGATACTCCCCTCCTGATTTCTCTGGCCCCTCCCTTCCTAATTAGAGGCAGCATAAGAGCCTGTGGAGGACGACTCAGCTGCCATTAGCACCACAGCACCACCACTTTACTACTCACATGAAACAAATCAGAGCTGGCCAAATGATCAAATAATCAATAAAGGTCAAAATTATATCATGCCAGGGAAACAGCTTTGTAAGAGATTAAATTATTAAACATCTGTAGTGGGAAAAGGATGTTGGTCAGCAGAAACACAGTAGAGCAAAGAAAGGTGGGGTAGACAGAGGAGGCTGCTTTGCTTCTTTGGAGACAAATAAGTGTTTCCCCAAGTTATAGTTAGTATATGACAGTATATATCGCACATGCAACCACGCCCACCATTAAATGCTTGTTGCTAAGGTTATGTAACCACTGTTTCTACGGCAACAAGTTTACTGTACATAGATTAGTCAACTATGATCACATGATCAGATTTTATGAACAGTTTCATTCATGACACAGCATCAGACAAACATCCATCTCAGTAATATTAGACCATACCATGGATGTAGCAGGTTGTAATTAGCGTAGCATTAAGGGGTCTAAGCTAACAGGCTGGGCCATGAAAACGTAGCTAAACTGGCTTTTATTTCCAGCAGCAAAATATATCCAAGTTTAAGATTTCTCTGGTTTGAGAATTGATGGAAACATTTGTGAAAATGTAAGAACACAACTCAACAACATATAGAACATAGGTCTAGTTGTTTTTAGACACTTTAATGTGAAAGTTACATAAAGTTACAGATTATAACTTTACATGACATGAATTAGAAGAACAAGAAAAGAGGTGGTATGGCTCTGCACGTAAACGGGAACCTTATTTATTTTTGTTATTAGTTTATTATTAGTAAAAAACATGTCTACAACTGTTGATAATGAAATACCATTGAAATTTGAATGGGAAAAAAGACAAATGTTAAAAGCACCTGCATCCAGCACTGATGCTCAGACAAATCAGAAGATTATTTTGATTATTTTATGGGGATTTTATCTGATTTGTTAAATCCTTTGTTGAAGCACAAAATGACCGATGAGTTTCTTTATCCAACTATCTCAACAAAAGAGTTCCTCATTGTAGCGGCAATACTCACATTAATGTCATGTGCTCTTCATTAAGAGATACAAGCGGCACAAGTACAAACACAGACCATATAATATAAGCTGAAGAAACATTACTGTCACAGCAACAAGCGCCCTTGTTTTACCCTTTTAATTTACTCCTGGGTAAGTGAAGTCATGTGACGCTGTCTGACAAAAAGGAAATATAATGTGCTTTGTACTATACATAGGTGAAGAGTCATAAACATGAGATGCTCCTGTCTGTTTTAGGTGGAAAATAACAACATGAGATGGATACTAAGAGAGAAAAAGTGCTGCCGTTCAAATATAAAAAGGAAGAGCCAAAGAGTTAATTCTCCTTGAAATGATTCAAAGACGGTTTGACCTCATGCTCACCTGCCTATAACAAGATTACACATCTTAAATGATATGTGAAATTCATGATTTTATCTCAGCTTATTGGCAGCAATTGTTTGTTTTTTTTCCCAAAATGCACATTGCACATTGAAGTCCTGAGGTTTCAGTTTGATGCAGAGTCAATGAGTGAGTGAAGTAAGTTTGACGTGTCTTCTTAGGACAGAAGACACGTTGGCTTCTGCTGGGATGATCTCCATAACCCAGTCACCACACATACCTGGTGATGGTATTTGTGCTCCCCGCTGAATATTCAGTTGTAGGCTGTGATGGTCTGGATGCCGTGGTGGAGTCTGTTCAGCCTGCAGTGAGGATGCTTGTGTGTCAGTCTGTTTCCTCCCACAGTGCTGTTTGCTAACATGGTGCCAGGGCTGAAGCCGCTCCAGGAGATCAGAGTGGGCTAATTAAAAAGGTTTGGAAGGTATTAGTCAATTCAAGCCTGAGTTTACAAGTCGAAGGACAAAAGAAAAAATAAATAAATAAAAGGATTTATGAATGGTTCATAGCTAGTTTATTCATTAGCTTGTTAACACTTTATAAATCATTTATAAGCTGTTATAATACATTAGATAAAAAGGGAGACAGTGACCTGTTACTTGCCAAATAGTGAGCCCCCAACGTATCTGTACTGTTCAGCCTCATATCTCATTAGTTACTGAGCGTTCTTTGTTTTCTCCATCATCAGCATATGTACCTGCTGCTTCATCACATTAGCCACTGTCAGCATCTTAATGGTCAAAAAATGCATTCATCTTTATGTTTCTTGGTATCTCATTTTTACCATTTAATA